CCGTGTCTCCCTCTCTCTCTGCCCCTCCCCCGTTCATGCTCTGTCTCTCTCTGTCCCAAAAATAAAAATAAAAACGTTGAAAAAAAAATTAAAAAAAAAAAAATAAAGTAGGGTCAACTACCAGCCCCCCAATTGTCATCCCCAGGGGAGACCTGGTCAAAGTGCAGCAGACTATGTGCATACTGTGCAACACCACTGCCATGGCTGAGGTCTGGGCCTCCCTGAACCAAAAGTATGATCTCATGTAAGCAAAGTGAATATGGGAGAAGGCATCTATGAAGGGGAGTTCTCTGAGGCCCTGAAGAACCTGGCAGCTCTGGAGAAAGATTAAGAAGAGGTGGGCATGGATTCTGTGGAGGAACAGGCCAAAAAGGGGGAAGATACTAGAGTGCAGCTGGCAGGTATTTCTCTCAGTTGGCTTTCTCCTGCTACCCCTCAGAATGGCTGGTTTCAAGTTGTTTACAATTAAAGTTTCTGCATTAAATGAGTAAAATCATAACTGTGAATACTAAAAACGATTGAATTTTCACTTTAAATGAGTGAATTTTATGGTATGTTAATTTTACACACACACACACGCGCAATCATATTCAAACGCAGTAAACCACGTCCATCCTCAAAGCCTGAAAACTCCTGATCACAGGTGGGCCATGGAGAAATGCCTCCATGTCTTCCAAAATTGAGTCATAGCTCCTTCAAATACTGAATCATTCCTACCCCTACCAAGCGCCTCACTAAGTAATTCCCTAGCTTTACACTTGTGAAAATACCCTATAGATGTCCTGCTTAGGCCAGTGCTATACACTTCTCCAAGGACATTCCTGCTACACGGCCTTCCTTGCTTAGGGAGAGACCCACAGATACCGGAATGTTTCTGTTGCATGTGGAAGTCTGTGTCCCACAGCAGAATTTCTCTGCCTGATGTTGTCCTCTTGCTGTATGTCCCCATCCCACCATCAGGTAGATCTATTGCCTACTTTAGATTTCTCAACTCAGGGAGCCTCTGTCCGTGAGATTCAAAACCTAAAAGACAGAGGGCCTTCCAGTAGGGAGAGATGTGAAGCTAGCTATGGAAAGAGCTGCGTATGTGTGGGAGGAGAACAGAAAGCATTCAGCTTTCTGCTCCTCCACTACCTTCACTGCCCATTCCATCTTCCCTACTCACATATGACCAGTCCTTCATCACAGTTGGAATAAAACTCTTTGCCAGTGGAGCCAAACACAGCTTTCTCCTCCGAGTTAACTGAAATGTCATATTGCTTCAGTAAAGCCCTGTATCCCAATGACCTTGGCAATACAGATATCTTAGTAAAATTATACACTATGCTAAGACTTTTAGGTTATGACAAGAATTCAAAGGAAGATTTAGAATTAAAGGCTAATAACTCAAGTTTGTGAGGTAGGATAGGAGATATTCCTAAGAATTTCTGATTCTTTTTCTGGAAAAAAAAAGTTCTCTCTCCAGTTTTCCAACCGAAAATTGAGGTAAAAATAGGAAAAGTGATATTCTGTATAAATTACACTGGATTGTAAATTCCTCAGCAAAGACAAAGTACTATGTGATTGCAAAGTAATATGTTATTGCTGAGACCAACGCTCTGTCTCATTCAGTATGTACTGGCAGATGAGGATGAGATTTTTGAGAACTTGCAAGCTTTATTTGCAGTCCCTTAAATGTGGTGTTAGCATCAGCTATATCCATCAAAAGGGGGAAGGGGGCCAAACGCTCTGCTGCCATCATTCATAAAGCTAGAAAACTTGCTTGAGCATCTGTTTGATCTGCCAGGTAATATAAATAATGCCATAGAGTATGTACAATCAGTCACCAGATGCTTTGGATCACTGCCTCAGCAGTGATTAACAAGAAATGTGGCAGGTCAACTATAAGTGCAGCAAAGAGAATGTCTTGGCCTCTCCAAAGGGAAACATATTAATTAAAGTTTTATTCTGGAGAGTTCTGAACTGTGCATAAATGAATGCTGAATTTTTATCCCCTGGATTCCAGACTCTTATCCAAATATCTACCCAACAGTTCGACTTCAATGTATAATAAGCATCTCAAACTCAACACGTTGAAACTGAACTTCTCTTTTCTTTCCCAAGTCTCTTCCTCCTAGTCTTCCTCATCTTAGTGGCAACTCCATCTTTCCAGTTATGCAAGCCTAAAAAGTTTAGAGTCATCATAGATTTCTCTCTTCTTCTAAACATCCACCTCCAGTGTCAGCAAATCCTGTTTACCTTCAAAATACAACAGATATTAGCCATTTCTCACCACCTCCATTACTACCAGTGCCATCATCATCTCTCACCTCAATTACTGCAACAGCCTCATAACCAGTCTTCCATTGCCCTTTCTCTGTCCATTCTTAATCCAGCTTCCAGAGTAATTATCTAAAAAAATAAGAATTGATATCATGTCACTTTTCTCAAATACTTTCAGTGAGTTCCCATATTACTCAGACTAAAAACAAAGTCGATATGAGGCCTGAAACAATTTATTCTACCACTTTGCCTCTATGATCTTCTGTTATACTCCCTACTACTCTGTTCTAGGTCTCCTGGGCCCCTTACTATTCCTCAAAACCACAGACACAGAAACACTGAAGCATCTTTGCGCTTGCTATTCCTTCTCTCTGGAATGCTCTTCCCCCAGGTATACACATGGCTCCTTTTCTCACTTTATTCAAAACTTTGCTCATGTGTCACCTCCTTCTGTTAGTTGATTTCTCTGCTCCCTATTCTGTTCCTGACTTCATTCATGCTTTTTTTATGTAGCTGTAATTTATTCATTTTCACTGCCACTTAGTATTCTATTGTATGAATATGCCACAATTTATTTATCCATTCTATTGATGGATAGCTATGGTGTTTCTAATATTTGCTATTGCAAAAAAAAAAAAAAATCCTCCTATAAACATTCATGAACATAGCACCTGGTGCAAAATGCTGCATTATAGACTTGTGCATCTTCAGCTTTGCTATAGAATGCTAAATTGTTTTTCAGAAATAGTTGTATCAATTTATACACTCACCAACTATACATAACTGTATTGTCTGCTCTACAGCCTTGCTGAGATTTTTAATTATTCCCAATATGACAGTTTTTAAATCATCTTTAATAATGGTTTTGATCTGCATTTTTTTTTTCTGGCTATCAAGGAGATTGAGCATCTTTTAATATACTGATCAACTGTATCAGGATTTGAAGAGGGAACAAATGACATGTTAGGATAATTAAAGGAACTAAGTACAAAGATGTTCATGGAGTGTAGGTGAATCCAGACTGTCAGCAATAGAGCTGCTTCTACTCCTAGATCCAAAAGGATAAGAGGAGGGAAAGGTTACTGGAAACCTAGAGGAATAGAGTCTTACGAAGCAGGAAACTTTGGTTGGAAGAAACAGCTAGAGTGAGGAAGGGATCAAGGAGAATAAATATCTCAACTTCACTCTCCTCTCCTGATCTTCTGCCAGGTATCCCCATTGGCTGAATCCAAATGGATGTCAAAGAGGATGAGAACGCTGCTGAGGCCAGGATCCTAAACGAAGCATGGGGTGAAGAATGTAAAGTTGGTATACAGGGGCAAACAAAAGATATTTGCAGGAGCTATTCATTTTTACTTTTCTCTCCTATGAGTAGGAGACTTTCGCCCATTTTTAAATTAGGTTATTTTTTTCATATTGATTTATATTAGTTCTTTATGTGGACAATTATTTCTATTGCAAATAAAATTAGTTTCTTTCTGATAGTTATGACTTTTCTTTTTTCTTGCCTTAATATACTGGCTAGAGCCCCCAATAATTAAAACCAGTGATATTTGTCTGGTTCATGATCTTACACAGAATATTTGCAAATTTGTCTTCATTAAGTATAAAGCCTATTATAGGCTTTTTTTTTCTTAACAGCATATACGGAATCAGGATAAGGAAATGCTTTTCTGAGTTTGCCAAGAGGTTTTTGTTATTGTTGTTGTTTTAAATTTCAAATGGATGTTAACATTCAGCAAATATTTTTTTCTCCATCTACTAAATAAAGGGTCTACAAACTACTGTCCTCAAAGGCCAAATTCAGCCAACAATTTTTTTTTTTTTTTTTTGGTAAATACAGTTTCATTGGAAAAAAGCCACACTCACTTGTTTAAGTACAATATGGCTGCTTTCATACTACAATGGCAAAATGTGTAGTTCTGTGGCCTGCAAATCTAAAAATACTTACTATCTAGTTAGCCCTTTGCAGAACTTTGTCAACTAGATGGTTATACAACTTTCCTTTTTACCTCTGATCATATGGCTTAGCTGGCTGTTCTCAAAGCGAACACCCCAAATCCATTCTCTGCCCTTTACTGCTCTATTCCCTCTGAGGCTTATTTTCACTAATTGCATCCCCAAGCTCCCTTGCCACTGGCTTTTCATGAGGGCTGACAAATGAGAGGCAGTAACTGGAGATGGGAGGCTGGTAGCCCTCATTGGTCACAGTTCTGACTTGTTATGGTCTGGCAGAGGATACATTCCTCTACGACTACAAAGACTTATGGTTAAACCCTTTTCCATAATTCCATTTCTCGCTAAGCATTTCCTCTCTTTGCCTTTGCCCTTTCAATCCTAGAGTTCTGGCTATTGTTAGTCACCAAAAGGATGTCCAAGTATCTGTTATGGGTTCCATTAATCCTTCTGTAAACTGTTCCTTAAATTTCTTTCAGTTATAACTATCTTTTGTGTTTCATCTCTTTCTTGCTGTGTCTCTTAGAAATGCAGCTGTTAATTATACAAACTGCTTTTCTAACATCAAACCAACCTTGAATTTTGGGGATCTACTCAATTGGTCATAGTGCATATTGTTATAGGTCACTGCATTCAGTTTGCTTTTTTTTTTTTTTTTCCTTTTAGGTCTTTGTATTTCTATTTATGAGAGAATAACTTGTTATTTTCCTTTCTTATTCTGTCCTTTTTAGATTTTGATATCATGATTCTGCTACCCTCATGCCAAGATTTAAGGAGTGTTCTGTTTTTCTAGATTGAATAATTTATATAAGATAATATGTATTCTTTATGTTTTGTTACAAACTTTTGGAAAAATCATCTGGCTTATTATTTTAAAATCACTTTTGCAAGTTAAATTTTTTTAGAATTTATCCATTTTATTAAGTCTTCAAATTTATTGAAACAAAGTTGTGACACCCTCTTTTAAATATATGCCTCATATCTGGTTCTGACCCGTTTGACCTCACAGTATTATTTACAAATTCCCTAGATTTATTGTTTTAGTAGGATTGCTAACTCTTCCCTCAGTGCATGTCATTACATGTTTATTTTCTATTCCATTAATATCTATTATCTTCATGATTTCAATTATTGTATTTTCTTTAGGATTATTCACTTGTTATTTTTACATCACATTAAATTAAATGCTAAGCTCATTACTTTTTAACTCTTATTTTTTCCCAAGATAGGCACGTAAGTCATAAATTATCCTCTAAGGACAATTTGGGCTGTATCCCACAATTTTTTTAAGCAGCTTTAATGAGACATAATTCACATACCATATGATTTACCCAGTTAAAGTGAATAATTCAATAGTTTTTGGTATGTTACATGATTAACTTTATGGTAAAATATATACAATATAGAAGTTGCCATTTTAATCATTTAAAGTACACCATTCAGTGGTATACTTACATTCACAATGCTGCGCAACCACCATCTATTTCCAACATGTTTTCGTTACTTCAAACAGGAATGCTAAAATCAATAACCATTAGCTCTCCTTTCCCCCTCCCCTATATCCTGGTATCTACTAGTATCTACTTTCTGTCTCTATAAATTTGCCTGTTCTTCTATTTCATTAACTGAAATCATACAATACTTCTCCTTTTTTGTCTGACTTATTTCACTTAGCATAATGTCTTCAAGGGTCAATGATGTTGTAGCATTATTCAGAACTTCATTCCTTTTGATGGCTAAATAATATTCCATTCTATGTACATACAACATTTTGTTTATCCATTCATCTGTTGATGGACACTTGGGTTGTTTCTGCCTTTTGGCTATTGTGAATAATGCTGTAATAAACACTGGTGTAGAAGTATCTCTTCCAGTCCCAGCTTTCAAATACTTTGGGTATATACACCTAGGAATTAAATTACTGGGTCATATGGTAATTCTGTCTAGCTTTTTGAAAAACAACCAGACTGTTTCTCTCAGGGGCTGCACTATTTTACGTTCCTATTAGCAATATACAAGGGTTCCAATTTGTCTATATTCCCATCAACATTTGTAACTTTCAATTAAAAAATTAATACAGCCATTCTTGGAGGTGTGAAGTGATATCTCATTGTGGTTTAGACTTGCTTTTTCCTAAGACTAAAGATGTTAAGTGAGCATCTTTTCCTGTGCTTTTTGGCCATTTGTATATCTTCTTTGGGAAGTGCATAATCAAGTACTTTGCACATTTTTTAGTTGGGTTGTTGTCTTTTTGGGTGTTGAATTTTTAGAGTTTTTAATATATTTGTATTTTTTCTGGATTTTATATGTTTTTTCTACATTACATAAAAAAGAAGCTATTACCTCTTCAACCCATAACATATTAACTTCCTCAGGTAAAATTAGTGATTATTCAACATAATTTGTGATCAGTATGGCTTAACAGAAGTCTGACTCTAAGTCTTATTCTGAAAGCATAGGCAGATTTGCCAGTAATTTACTTCTAGCTATGACCAAGTCACATAAACCACCACTATGATCATTTTATCATTATGTACCACATAAAATTGAAAAATGAATATATATGTAATATGTGTATATATGTGTGTGTTTCTCATATATATATATATATATGTAAGGATGAAATTCTAAATAAAAAGAGCAAAACCCAGTATAAAATACTGCTCAGAAGCCCAGAGACTATAGATTTTGTACTATGATGCAATAGAAACATGTAATATTGGAGGAAGAGAACCATTCCATTTAGTATTTTTCTCTCTACCACTATATGAAAATAGTACAAGGCAAGGATTACAGTCAGACTACCTTTCCTTTAGTTTCTCCTCCATTCTCCACTTCAATTCTTGAGACCTTTCAGAACTAACAGAGGCTTCATTGCGAGGTAGGGGAGAGGAATGAAGTTGTCATTGGCTTTCTGGTCTCCTCCAGCTACTCAGCAGACTAAGGAATTCCTTCTGTGTGCTCCTCACAAGGACCTTCAAAGGTTGGATAATTGGGTGGTCAGATAAGGGAAGTCCCCCAGGCCCAGGGCTACTTAACTTCTAAACAAGGTGTAAGTGGGTACACAAGGGATGTAGCATTAATGGGCATGAGGAAGTAAGAAAGGGGGTGAGGAGAACCTTGAGGAATTAGAAGAAGCAAAAGAAACATTTGCCTGGGCCTCACGCTCAGGGCAAGCTACCAATTTAGATACTTTTTAATTTGATGACACTGAATTGATCTTTGCCTGCTTAACATTAATTGGTAACACTGCGCGAAGCTAGCATTTCCCATTTAGTAACAGATGCACTTGTAGAAAACAGAAGTTTGAAATAAGTTTGCTTTTTAAATGCTTATTTTTGCTTTTAATTATTAGAGTTAGAAACTCCCAATGGAAGTGGCACAGTCCTTTGTAGAGCTCTGAACAAAACAGTTAAAACTTTCTATGCAGTCACAACCCTGAAATCAAGACCTGAGCTGAGATCAAGAGTCAGATGCTTAACCAACTGGGCCACACAGGTACACCTTCCCCCACTGTTTTTAAATACATACCTTTTTTTATTGTATGAATGAATCCGATAACTAACCATGTGGTAAGTTTTCTTTTATAAATCTTAGTGAGTTGTTTTTAAGATGGTCATATAGGAAAATTTTACACTTCACAGGTTAATCATGATATTTAAAAATAACTTTTCAAGGGGTGTCTGGGTGGCTCAGTTGGTTAAGTGTCCGACTTCATGATCTCACAATTCGTGAGCTCGAGCCTGTGTCGGGCTCTGTGCTGACAGCTCAGAGACTGAAGCCTGCTTTGGATTCTCTGTCTCCCTCTTTCTCTGCCCCTCCCCAGCTTGCACTCTGTTTCTGTCTCTCTCTCAAAAATAAATAACCATTAAGCAAAATTTAAAAATAACTTTTCAAAGATATTATTCTCATTTAAAATATATTTTTCTTTTATTATAGTCCAGCATCTCCATTTCCTACTATAACATGTTTTTAAGTGTACACCACAAGGTGGCATACAAAACCTCATAAAGACATTTCTGGACATCTGTCAAAACTTTACTATATACTTATAGAAAACCTCCCTTAAATCCAGACACGAGGGACTCCAACCTTGGACCCTTTGCTTGAGAGCTAGGCTCTGTCCCATTCTATCATATGTCCCTCCCCACACGGTAAGAAGATCACAGCAACTGGGGATGTGTCCCTCCTCACCTGGAGAACCTCTTCCAAGGCCTTCCTGGGCCATCCCAGGACAGTGGATGAAGCTGGGAAGCACATTCCAAATGTCTGGACCACTGAAGCAGCACACCTGCAGGAGCTGGGGGTGGGTTGTCCTTGGGACAGGACGGCGTTGGGACCAAGAGAGCTGAGTGCAGCTCGCCCTGCTTTGCTGCTCATCAGTGCCGGGCTCGAGGAGTCCGAGAATTCTGGGAACCTTAAGAAGGCATGTTTGCCAAGGTAGGAACAATTTGTTAGTGTGATTTATAACTTCTCATTATTTAGGCATATGGTATGTGGACCTCCATTTTCACGGAGAGTCCCGCAAACATTAGAGATGAGACCGTGCACGTACAAAATTTGTTATTTTTGGTGTATATTTGCTTACTTATAATCTGTACTTGAAATTAGACTACACTAGAATCCTGAGATTTCAGCAATAAAATCAGCAGCTGATATGACTAGCTTGTATTGGCTATTTATCAGGAAGTAAAAATAACTGTCATCAAAATGGCCTGTAATAGAATTTGTAAACAAAGGTAAACAAGGCAGCTATTATAGCTAGCCACCACTATTTCAGTTTTCCTCCTTCCAGGAATATAAAGACTGTACTTAACTATCCTTTGGTATTACAGGTGTGGCCATGTGGGTTGCTTTTTTTTTTTTTTTTTTTTTTTAAGTTTTGGTTTAGACTCTTTTTATAATAATCTGAGATGTAACTCTCACACCATAAAATCACCCTTTTAAAGTGTATAATTCAGTGGATTTTAATATTTTCAGTTAGGCAACTAACACCATTAACTTTAGGACTTTTGTACCATTGCCACAAAAAGAAACTTGTACCTGTTAGCAGTGTATGACTAGGTTTGACCACCGTAATTGGAGATGGAAGGTTGTGCATGACATGACAGCAAGTCTCTTCATGGTGCTGGGTTTGCTATGTTCTCCCCTTGCCGTGGTGGTGGTATTCCACAGGTGAGGCTACACCAGCTTGTCTCTTGGGAGTGAGGATAAAAATGGAGCCAAGGCCTTAATGAACCAAGAATGTAGCTAAGAAACACTTTCATTGTGTTAAGTCACTAAGATTTTGGGGGTCGTTCATACACACAGCATAGTGTAGCCCACCATGATCAATGCACACAGGATAAAGATCAGTTTGATCATAAATTAGGGAAGGCAGAATTTTTTTTAGAGTGTCTAGAAATTGTAATTATGACTTTTGGGGTGCCTGGGTGGCAGTCAGTAAGCGTGTGACTTGATCTCAGCTCAGATCATGATCTCACAGTTTGTGGGACTGAGCACCACATAGGGCTCTACGCTGACAGCATGGAGCCTACTTGGGATTCTCTCTCTCTCTCTCTCTCTCTCTCTCTCTCTCTCTCTGTCCATCCTCCATTCTTGCACTCACACTCTCTCTCAAAATAAATAAATTAAAAAAATAAATGACTCATTACTAATTACCTTGTTACAACGAAAAAGAGGCTGATTTTGAATGAGATGATCATTGGAGGAAAGTCATTTCATTTGAGCGAGGGACACTTGACAATTACATTAACCATCAAGGGCCCAATATGACATCATCACAAACCCTGTTCTGCTGATGGGAGGAGCATGATAGCTATCACTATTTTGGACAACTATGCTTTCTTAAGATTTCTTTATGGACTCCTACCCGGAATTTAATTGGTCTATGGTATAGGGCCCCAGATTCTTTTTTTTTCTTCCTTCAATCATGTATCCTTTAGCCCATATTAAACATAATTTAATCTTTCCTTTCTTTTTAAATTTTTAATGTTTATGTTTAAGAGAGAGAAAGACAGCATAGTATGAGTGGGGGAGAGGTGGAGAGAGGGAGACACAGAATCTGAGGCAGACTCCCGACTCTGACCTGTCAGCACAGAGCCCAAGATGGGTCTCGAACCCATGAACAGCAAGATCATGACCTGAGCTGAAGTCTGACTCTTAACCAACTTGAGCCACCCAAGTGCCCATAATCTTTCTTCTTAAATGAGTAATTACAGTATCTCAGGTCTCTATTTCCAGTATCATATCACCGTTCAGTAAGGTTCATACATAATGTGTGGGATATTCTGTTGATCTTAAAATATGCTCTATTCATTAACAGTTTAGGTTCCCATTACGCATCACTGCCAAACTGTATCAAATAATCCCCATTCTTTTCTTCTCTCTTCCTCTAACCTTTATTAGCTATCAGATTAAACTTCCTAAAATGTATTTTTTATCATTAATTGTAATGTTGATTTTTGAAAGAGAGAAACAGAGTGCGAGCAGGGGAGGGGCAGAGAGAGAGAGGGAGACACAGAATCTGAAGCAGGCTCCAGGCTTTGAGCTGTCAGCACAGAGCCCGACGCGGGGCTCAAACTCACAAACTGAGAGGTCATGACCTGAGCTGAAGTTGGATGCTTAACCAACTGAGCCACCCAGGCAGGAGCCTCCCTAAAACGTATTTCTGATCATGACACCTCCCTATACAAAAACCTTCAGTGAGGGTGCCTGACTGGCTCAGTCAGTGGAGCATGCAACTCTTCATCTAGGGGCCATGGGTTCCAGTCCCATGCTAGGTGTAGAACTTATATTAAGAAAGAAAAAAAGTAAAAAGCAAAAACAAAACCTTCAATAGCCCTCAGAAAATAAAAAATAACTTAGCTAGGTATTTGTATTACTTTGGTAGGGCTGCGATAAAAAAGTGCCATAAACTGGGTTGTGTATAAAAAAGGTTATTTATTGCCTCACAGTTCTGGAGGCTACTAATCGACAATGAAGGTGTTAACAGGGATGATTCTTTTTGAGGCATGTGAGGAAGAATCTGTTCCATGCCTCCTCCTTAGTTCCTGGAGGTTTGCTGGTAATCTGGCATTCTTGGCTTGTAGAAGATATATGCCCAGTCCCTGCCTTCCTCTTCATTCCCCTTGAGTCTGTGTTCAAATTACTCCCTTTTATAAAGACATCAGTCATATTGTATTAGGACCCCATTCTACTCCAATATGACCTCATCTACACTGATGTTTACATCTGCAATAACCCTATTTCCAAATAAGGTCACATTCTGAGGTACCAGAGTTTAGTACTTCACAATTCAAACCATAACCGTATTCAACACCCTCCACAAAGTTTCATTCATACTTCCCTTTTCAGCTTTATTTTCCCATACATTACACCTGAATGTAAGTATCTGAGGTACTATAGACAACCAAAAGCCCTGCCTTTCTGTGAATCACTATAATATTTTTCTGACTCTGTTCATTTTTCTTCCTCTCTTTTGTACCGTCTCATCACATCCTGTGCATTCTTCAAAGTTGCGTTCAAATGATCCTTCTTTTGTAAGCATAATCCTAAATTTTCTATCTAGAAGTTAACATCTCTCCTTTATGACACTCTCTGTATATCACCTGTACTTCTCTAATGGACTTCAGCATGTAATTTGTAACTTGTGTTATACATGACTTATATGGCCTATAATCTTTACCACACTGTAAATCCCTTATGAAGATGAGACACACATCTAACTCATTCTTTAATCTTCCCACAAAATTCTTCAAAGTGTTTTACAACAAATATTTGTTGAATAAAGTTATAAATATCAGAATATCAGAGCTTATAGTTTAAAATCTTTTATACTAGTTAGCATTATTTACTTCTCTAAGATTGAAAAAAAATGTTATTAAAGGTGTTTTTGGCTTAATATATACTATGGAAATGCACAACTGTTTTCAAACCAATACATCGATTCAGATATAAATTCTGAGCCTACAAGGTAAAATTATCAATACCCTTTAAGAGCTTATTAAACAACTCTAAAATTTTTTCCCTACAATATTGTTTTTAAAAGTTCCTATGACACAGAAAGAAGTTTCACTTAATTCATCATTATGGTTGAATAAATATTTATTAATCCCATTCTAGGTAGTTCAAACTTAACTTTTCAAAGGGGGAAAATATTCCAAAAAATAATTAAACTGAAAACATGGCACCAATAGCAGAGAAAGATCTGAGAGTTCTGAGCTGGAATTCAGTTTCCTTCCTAAGAAGTAATCATGCTTTGCCTATTCTCTTTTCAGAAGAAAAAGGGAATTCTATATATTATATGTTTTCTTTGCCTTTATATATATGTATTGACATTCAAACATAAGTTTATATAAATTAATAGCTATAAAATAAAACTTCAGGATTTAGTCATCAAGAGTGTGTCAAGACACTTCTATACAACTTTTTTGAATGGAAAAGATATCAAGATTCAAGGAGTTATACATTCTAAACAAACACTTTAAATAGATTTTAGTATTTACTAACTTAAGTACTCAAGGACTTGGTTTGAAGAGTCCAACAGACTGAAAGTCTGCTTTTCAAGAGTACTATGATCTTCCAGCAATGGAGAGATTTTGGCACTTCTATATTCTAATAGTTCACCATCTTTGCTTGATGTCAGTAACTCATTATCGACTACACCAATAGTTGCATCTTCTACCAGAATATTTGCTTGGTATGCTCCAACTGGAATTTCAGGCAATCCGATGTAGTCATGATCTGCCACTACCGAACCTTGCAAGAGATAAAGACTATCTGAAAGAAGAAACATCATAAGGTCACCTTTTAGTATTATAATTAAACATCATTTTAAAATTAAACAATGTTAAATAAGGATGAAACCCCAAGTAATAAAAATTAACAATCAGATTAACTTCTGATGGGTTCTCCTATCTACTAAATAAACATACATGTCAAAGGATGAATAAAATGATATATACAGGGGCGCCTGGGTGGCTTAGTCGGTTAAGCACCAGACTCTTGATTTCAGCTCAGGTCATGATCTCATGGTTCATGGGATCGAGCCCCACATCAGGCTCCATGCTAACAGCACAGAGCCTGCTTGGGATTCTCTCTCTCCTTCTCACTCTGTCCCTCTCCTACTCACACATGCATGCTCTCTCAAAATAAATAAATAAACATTTAAAAAAATGACAAATACAGTTCATATGCATAGAGTTCAGGAAAGACCAAAAATTTTAAAAGAGTCAAGTTTTCCTGTTCCCTTGACCTGTCTTTGGCAGGTATGGGTGAAGGGATAGAAGGGGCTGAAGATGATGGTAAAGATTAAAAGTTATAGAATTCTATTTCTGATGTTGGTATTATCCTTAAAAGCACCTCTGAGTGAATTAATGGGATCTTGAATGATATTCAACAAATTAAATCCTCACATTTGTAACTTCAGATAACCTAATCTTCATAGAATATGCAGTAGAGCAATAATATCAAATTGTTTATAATATGAAGTTATAAACGAATAATAATATGAAGTTACTAGAATGAGGCTTCTGTGAGAGTTACTAAAGTCAGGCTTATATAATACAGGTAAGTAGGCAAACTTATGTGTAAGTGGGCTTAAAATACTTAGCTTACCTAGGTCTAATTTAATACCAAAATGTTCATGAAATTTTAAGGTATAGCTAAATTCATACTGAAATACTGACAAGGAACTTTCCTTGCCAGCATTTTATTCTATTTTGAGCAAAGTTATCATCACTATCAAGAAAAAAAAATGCTTAATATGAATGTTAAACCGATGGAAAAGCAGTAGCATCTTTATAAAAGAAAAAAAAAGATTAATGTATATAAAAGGATTCCTCCCAACCTGACATTTTTTAATTCATTACAACAAAGAACTCTTCCACCATAGATGATTAACTTCCTGGACCCCTGCTTTCTCTTTCTGGATTTTTCTCCCAAAACATTCATAATTCTATGATTTTAATGGCTTAAAGAATCCTCAAATTTTAAGTTCAAGAAATATCAAAAGGAAGATTAATTGCCCATTTAGATAAGAGATTAACAAAAACTTCTCAGAGCATATAAATTTCCTAATAAACCCTGGAATATGATCCCCTTCTACCCATTCTCATGCTAACTTGTGGAAAGCTTACTGAGCCTACTCCAATCCCATTAAGTTTACAACATTTAAGCACTTTTGATTTAAAAACTTCAAAAGATCAAAGCCATGGTCTCTACCCACAGATGGTATAAATGGACTTGGCTTGTGTGGGCATTTAGTTTTGCCCATTTTATTCTTCATTAAGCAAAGTATACATGGAATTTTAGTTTTGAGAGGTTTTTCCAAGTTTTACCCCACCAATTCTTATTTATGAATAGTAGGCTCTAAAACTGAGAAGGATGGTAAGAAGATACACATATTTATGATGAAAATAAAAGTATGGATAATTGAAGGTGGTTAAGAATGAGTTTTGTATGTTAGCATGATGAACTGTTGGACGAGAGGTACTCTGAAAGATAAAAACCAAACCATACAAACCATGAGAAGTGCTACTGCCCAAGAGCAGGAAGAAAGAGCAAAATTGTGATCAATGCATTTGAAACACTTTAGCATATGTTAAGATTCAAAATCTAAGTTCACTCTTAGGCTCTTAATATTGGAGAAGGCTAGATACTAGTATATAAGAGAACTTTAAAAGGTTAGGTATGATACAAGCATTGCTGATGAAATTTTTCAAATAAGCCATGGGAATTCCTGCACAAAGCTGCAAAAATATCAGTGAAAGCAGATACCACAGCATTTAAGGTATTTCCAAAGAACCTTGCCAAGATCTTTGATGAAGGACGTTTTCGGTCTCAAACACTGTTTTCAATGCAGATAAATCAGGTCTCTTTTAAAAAATATGTCCAGTAAACATGTATCAACAGGAAAAACATGCACAGATATAAAGTTCTTAGAAGTTACCACTTTGGTATCTTGGAAATGTACTCACAGACCTTCAGCTTAAACACCCCCTTGTTACACTGAACTTCGAAATAAATGGATTTTACCAACTTCACTTGTTTATAAGAGGAGAGCTTCTATATACATGTCTTTATATAATATACATACTTTTTCTTTTAAGTAAGTGATACATTTTAAAGTACCTATTGCAATAACACTGTAAACAACAAGAACTATACCTGGCAAATTCTATACAAATCACTTTATATGCAATGGAAAATTACTCTGGAGATTTCAAGCCTTGTTTGTGTAAGAAAAAAAACAAAATTCTCATTCATTCAGAAAGGTCAAATATGTTTCAACTCCTACTATGGTCTAAACCTACTGGAGCTAACAGAAATGCTCTTTAACTTCAAAACAAATTACCAAAAATTACCTGAAAGAGACTTTCGATCAGGCCCTACTCACATGATTAAATAATAATAATTAGATACACTGGGTTATATCAAATATATTATTAAAATTATTTTCACCTATTTCTTTCTACTTTAATGTGACTACTAGAAAATTTAAAATTACACTATTACATAATTTTTGCATTTTATATATATCTACTGGACAGTACTGATGTAGAATAATCCTGAGTTAGGGATATTAAAAAAGAAATTAAATTTTTACCCCCAAGATAGAGAGGTAAACATACAATACTAAAACATTTTCAATTCAGTCACATTACATGATAAACTTTACTTAATTTTTCTTTTCTCATTCTGTTAATTTAGTTATCATTATGACATCTGTTTGATGAAAAGCATTATTTCAGTTTTGACCAGACTGAATAATTAGGTCTTTAGTTTCTCACAAAAAGAGGTAAGGTGTTACCAGCAGTTTGACATACTTTTCCTTACTCAGTTTTTGGTTTTTTTTTTTAAGTTTATGTTTATTTTAAGAGACAGCAAGCAAGCAGGGTAGGGTGGGGGGGAGGGGGTGGGCAGGGAGAGGTGGGGGAGGGAGGGAGGGAGGGAGGGAGGGAGGGAGGGAGAATGAGAATGAGAATCAGCATGGAGCCTGACATGGGGCTTGAACTCAGAAACCATGAGATCATGACCTCAGCTGAAACCAAGTGGGAAGCTTAACCAACTGAGCCACCCAGGCACCCCACCTTACATAGTTTTAAGCGGTAAAAAAATAAAAGAAACAAATTTTTAAATTTCCCTAAGAAGAAAAATAACTTAAAATTAAAGTCTCAAAAAAGTCTGCGTAATTCGGTTTAATTTGTTTCTTCAAACAGAAAAGTACATGGTTTTAAAATAATTTTCTTGGGGCGCCTGGGTGGCGCAGTCGGTTAAGCGTCCGACTTCAGCCAGGTCACGATCTCGCGGTCCGTGAGTTCGAGCCCCGCGTCGGGCTCTGGGCTGATGGCTCAGAGCCTGGAGCCTGTTTCCGATTCTGTGTCTCCCTCTCTCTCTGCCCCTCCCCCGTTCATGCTCTATCTCTCTCTGTCCCAAATAAATAAATAAATGTTGAAAAAAAATTTAAAAAATAAATAAATAAATAAAATAATTTTCTTATTCTGAAAAGAGGTGACCAGACTAATTCTATATATGGCCTGATAATCCTAAAAGTATTAGAATGTGTTGCCACACTAGTATATCCTTCCTTATGATAAAATAACAAATAATTATAATTCGATACTACATAATTGTCACTATAATAGATAAGCAATACTAACAACAGAGAACTGAAGGACTCTTGATTTAGAGATTATACAACTAGGAGCCCAAACAAAGGGAGGTTCTTTGGATGAATTACGTTAACAATAAAAATCATGGGCTTGACAATAAAGAACTAAGGTTAGTTTTGTTTCCTGACTGTAGACCGTAATTGTGGTTGGGAGAATAATGGGCCCCTAAAGATGTCCATGTACCAAAAACTCCCTGAACCTGTACTTATATTACCTTACATGACAAAGGAAAATTAGAGAAGTGATAGAATTAAGGTTGTTAACCAGCTGACCCTAAAATAGGGAGATTATCCTGTACTATCCAGGTGGCCTCAAGAACATGGTCCTTAAATGTGGAAGGGGGAGGAAGAGAGAAGGCTGCAGTGCCTGTGACCTGAGAAGGACTCTACCAGCCATTGCTGGCTCTGGAGAGGCAGGAGACCACAACCCACACGAGGTGGGCAGCCCCTCAAAGGTGGGAAAGGCAAAGAAATAGGTTCTCTTCTAGAGTGTCCAGAAAGGAACACAGCCCTGCCAACATTTGGCTTTAGCCCAAGAAAACTTATCTTGGAATTCTAAGATACTGAATTGTAAGATGTGCATTTTAAACCACTGAATTTATGGTAATTTGTCATGGCAGGAAAAGGAAACTTACAAAATAATGAAGACCATTTCATAAATTGTGAAGGGCAATCAGCAGACAGATATCACAACTTCCAACCAAAACAAAATAAAACTACTCAAAAATGTATGTTGGATATGATAAGGAGTCAGTAACATTTTTCCTTTCAAAGGGGACATTATGATCACAAAAAGATAGTATGGAATGTCATAAAACTTCTTGTTAAAATAATTAGTCTTGAAAAGGTACCTGACATTGAACTACTAAACAAAATGACATAGGGTTGCTTAAAATAGCAATGAGAAATATTGTAGACCTAGTACTGAATGTGTTGCCTCATGTTCTAGATAAGAATGGATAAGAAGTTGGCAACAGAAGCTTATCTGCTTTGGACAGTGAGTCTTTAAAACAGCTACGAGATCTCATGGCTGGTAAGAGTAGCAATGATAAGTGCAGACAGACAGTGCACAGCAATGTTAAGTGCAGAGGCTATACCTCTTTCAAATTTATGTCAAATGAAAGAACAGGATTTAAGTCATTCAAAGACATTTAGTTTGCTTCACATTCAGTTCAAGGACTCTTTAAAATCAGCTTTTGAATTAAAGATTTTCAAGCAAATGTGTGATATTGAAGAAAAAGATGGCAGAAATCACATTTATATTGAATCTAAGAAAAAAATGAAAAGAAAAGAAGAAAGAAAAGAAAAGAAAAAGAAACACAAAATAAGAAACAAAGAGTAATCAAGAACCAGATTCCAGGATGGCCAGACCACACATCCTTTGATTAACAAGAAAAAACAATTTTACCCATTTATCTCAGGTTTCTTATATGTACACTAGTACTAAAACTGTAATTTCTTTTATATTACTGGAAGAAATATCAGCAGAGAATTCAAGCATGAGGCAAAAATTAGACTGCCTCTGTTTAGAAGCTGTTCTCCTCAATTGGATTCTGAAATATGCAGGAATAGCAAAATATTTGGCCTCCTTTCTGAGAAAGTCTTTGGTAACAGCAAACTGTAAAATGTTGAAACAGATCCTGATACAGCAACATTTTCAATGTAAATTTTGTATTAATTAAGGAAGGTTTACACATTAGAAGGGAGCAAGTCCTGAATGCTGAGACTAGGGAGAAAATCATGCTAGAGAAAAAAGGACAACATGTACCTGTATAATCAGTTTTTTTCCTACTTAATTTGCATAAGACAAATCACGAAGGGAACTCAGTACTGAGAAGAGGTACAAGGAATGAAAGTGCCGACCTTCCAAGAAAGAGAATGAGTACTGTGAGATTTCAGAATTAGAACAGTCCAAGGTAAGTTTACTAACAGAGCAATTAGGCTGTCATAAGCAGAAGGAAAGGTGCTAAGAATTTTAAACATGAGAGTTGTAACCCAGAGCGGAAGCAAAGCTGAACTATTCTTGAGCAGTCTCCAAGGGCATTTTTATCCTAAAAAACTAGGGTAAACATAAATAGTCTATTATTGCTCTTATAATATTCACTTAAGCCTGGTACTGTATTATCTTCCTTTGTTATTCATATTCAAATAATACTGCTTTATAGGAAAAGCAAAATTAACTGGATGAGGTACCAATTCACTCCCTGTCAGTTATCCACCCGAGAGAATCTCTAGGGAGCAGTTAAAATAGGCTGGAGAAAGTGGGATTTAATCTGAAAGCCATGGCAAAATGTCACTTATCTCTTAATCTCTGAACAGAAGAGTTAAAGAAATCAGGATATCATCCTGACTGTTCAAAACCACATTTGGGGGCAAGTATAACCTTGCTGTCAAAAGGCTATCACCTCTTCTGACAGTATCTTAAAGCATTCTGACTACACCCTACTCTGCACCCTCCTTGCATCCATCATGACCTGACTATGGTGCAACATTACAAATTAATCACTTTTTTTTTAAAGTCCCCTAGTGTATTTATCTCACAGAATTCTGGTTAGTATGGTTGGTTCTGGCATTATTTATCTTAGTTGATATTTTCTGATGCTAAACGAGGCACAAAGTGACAAGTAAAATATTGTGAAAGTAAAAATAGAAAAGGTATTAATTCTTCCTTCTGTGAAATAGGTCCAGCATCTCCTATGTGAACTGTGGGGCAAATGTGTGAAAAGTAAACTAGAAATCAAAATAAAATTTCTTCCAAGCCTGACAGTTTCAGAAGAGACATTCTAATAAAACAGAATACCTGGTATCTAAAACTATACCGCATTTTATAAAAATGAGAAGGGGAAAGAAAACCTAACTAAGAGAAGGAGTTTAGGCCAGGGTCGGGGGATTCTTATACTATTTTTAACTTCTCTCCTCATTCAAAGAGTAAAAATTCAGATAAATGACAGATGTTTACCTTGTTCACTGGACTCTCTTACATAGGGCTTAAGGTGGGACATTTTGATAGGTCTTTTAAGTCTAGTCCCAGTGTTGTCTCTCAGAACAGCACATCCACTTTCGGTAATATAGTCTATGACACAAGGACCAACCCATTCAGACTGGAAACGACCATCCTTCCACCAGTTCTTCCTTTGTCGTAAAACTTCATGACCTACTTTTAGATGAAATGGATTTAACTGCTTTGGTTTCTTTTTAACAATGACTTTGCTTTTATTCAGTTCCTCAAAATTGTTGTTCTCCACCTACAATAGCAAAATAAAAAAGAGAACAAAGGAATGAAAGAGCTATAGTATCTTGAAGGCAAATGCAGATAATAACAAAATGGTTATTTTACTGAGATACTACTACAAAGTGGGTATGAATCCCATTTGAATCTTAAAATATTTCAAAACCAGTATCATTATTACCCCAACTTCACAAAGAAGTTGAACTGAGATTGGTTAAGCAATTGGCCCAAATCAAACAACTGGAAAGCAACAAGACCAGAAATCTGAGTTCAGCTCTACTTGATACCAAAATACAAGGTTCTCCCATTATTGTCTCTCAGGATTTAAAAAAAATTTTTTTTTACATTTATTCATTTTTGAAAGACAGAGCACAAGCAGGGGTGGGGCGGAGAGAGGGGGACACAGAATCTGAAGCAAGCTCCAGGCTCTGAGTTGTCAGTACAGAGCCCAACGCGGGCTCAAACTCACAAACGGTGAGATCATGACCTGAGCCAAAGCTGGACACTCAGCCGACTGAGACACCCAGGCGCCCCGGTCTCTCAAGATTTTATAGCTAATAAGCATACTGTTTTATCAAGACAAACAGAATTTAACAGAAAAAAATTTGGCTTAGTATATTATATATATGTTTATGGATGTGTGCATACCTCTGTGTGTATGTATGTGTATGCCAAAATTTTTTAAATTGCCTTATGGATTTTTAGATTATAGGGTTTTCTATTAAATAGAATCACCTGTCGTCCTGATGCTGTCTTACTCTCCATTTTTGATAATTTATCAGCTTCTTTAACTGCACCTAGAATTTTGGCAAACATACTTGTATCATCACCATCCACTTCATGAAGAATATCTGAAGTCTCAGGCATATAAGGATTTCGATTAAACATTTGAAAATATGGTGTATTTTTAGTAGGTTCCTATTTTAACGAAAATAAACAACAATTTGTAATAAATTACATAGCAAGAAATAGTCATCACTCAAAAGTAAGGAATTATAGAAAGTACAAAAAGACACACACCAAGTGAGTTACATTGAAGGCAAATGAAATGGCTGATAGGTGATCATCCCAGTTGTTTGGGTGGTCAGCACAGTGTTTACAAAGAAATGCTTTGATTGTGCTAGATGTACTTTCAGTTCGATTAACAGCTTGGGAGGCGTGAGAAATTACAATTTGCTTTGTGCCAAACAATCCACATAGTTCAACATTGATCTGAAAAATATATAAACAAAGTTGACTTTAAAATTTGTATTTTATGCTGATTCAAAGGGCCACATGCACCCCAATGTTTATAGCAGCACTATCAACAATAGCCAAAATATGCAGAGCCCAAATGTCCATCAACTAATGAATGGATAAAGAAGATGTGGTGTATATACATACAATGGAATACTACTTGGCAATGAGAAAGAATGAAATCTTGCCATTTGCAACAACATGGATGGAACTGGAGAGTATCATGCTAAGCGAAGTCAGTCAGTCGAGGAAGGCAGATATCATAGGATTTCACTCGTGGAATTTGAGAAACTTAACAGATGAACATAGGGGAAGAGAAGGAAAAATAAGATAAAAACAGAGAGGGAAGCAAACCATAAGAGACTTTTAAATACAGAGACCAAACTGAGGGCTGATAGGGGTGGGAGGGTGAGGGAGTGGGTTAACTGGGTGACGAGCATCAAGGAGGGCCCTCTTCGGGATGAGCATTGGGTGTCATATGTAAAAGATGAATTGCTGGGTCCTAGTCCTGAAACCTAGACTACATTGTATGTTACCTAACTTGAGAATATAAAAATTAAAAAATTAAAAGAATAATAAAGTTTGTATTTTACTCTTCCACTGACTGAAAGGTTTCAAAAGAATTTGAATCTTGCCTTTTTCATTGATCGTAGCCGTTCTATATAAAAGCATACATATTGTATTAAAAACAGCAATGACTATTTATTGAGTCATTATGTGGTCAGTACACTAAATGCTTTACATTAGCTTAGAACAATCATAAGTTATCATTAACTCCATATTACAGATAAGAAGTTGAAGCTTTGGGAGGCTAAGTGCCTTGCTAAACATACACATACAGCAAGGAAATCAAAGAAAAGAATTTAACACTAACCCTGAGTTCATGTAACATTTTAATTCAGCAAACAATTTCTCAAAAAAACACTAAGTCACATAATCTGGTTAATAGCTATGTGACTTTGACAAGTAACCAAACTTCTGTGTACTCACTTTCCTCATCTGTAGAATGAGGAAAATCCTACCCAGGACTCTTGAGAATTATAGGAGTAGATGTTTGTAAAGCACCTAAAACAGTTCTTGGCAACTAGTAAGTACTTTATAACTTGTAATGTTACTATTATTGTTGTGGTTATTTTATTATCTGCAGGACCTAACAAAATCCAAAATGAGTTTAGAAAACTTCTAACAGTAAGTCTATAAAATGTGAAACAACTTACTTTTCCTACCTTATGTCTCGGACTATATTTTATTAACTGGGTAAACGTTTGATTAATAAACCTGTCTTTTGAAAAACTATATCCTTGTTGCTTAATTGTAAGAAGACAAGTATCATAGTAACTAAAAAGGTAAAGCTAATAAATTAGGAAAAAAAAACCAACAAAAACAAAATCACATTTCCCAAGCTGCTGTGCAGGTAGGGGTAGTCATGTGATATAGTTCTGGCCCAAAGAGCTATAAATGGAAGTTGCTGGGCAGACTCAGATGGTACTAGCTTTTTTTGTCTGTTGTCCTACCCATTTCTTCTGTCTGAAATACAGACTTTGTGGCAAGGGCTCTGGCAGCCATGTCATGAACATAAGATTGAGAGTCACATCTCAAAGATGATGGAACATAATACTAGAAGCATGGGTCCCCAGTGACATTCAGAGTTACCCTTCCAATCTTGGACAGCCGAGAGAAGAGAGGGGTACTCTCTTGTACCTTACTTGGGGTAAGGATATCAGGATAGCACCTTATTCTCTTACTTGTAGCTAATAGAGTTCCTAGCTAATATATGTACTAATTTAGGCTGCCTCCTTTTAATTCAAAAGTAATTTAGAAGAAATCCTAGAGGGGCACCTACATGGCTCAGTGGGTACAGCATGCAACTCTTGATCTCAGGGTTTTAAGTCTGAGCCCCACATTGGGTGGGGAGGAAGGAGAGAGGGAGAAAGAGACAGAGAAAGAGAGAAATCCCAGAGAATTGGTATCATTTGGGTTAGCCTCAATCTGAGGTTATAATCAATGGCTTTAAATGACTGACCTCTGGAAAAGGGTCAGACAACTTTGTTTCAATAAGTTGTCTAGGAATGATCCAGTGAATTCATTTGTGGGATGCTATCCTGATATCCTTACCCCAAGAGCCTTTTTTCTTCCATCAACAAGACATTCTATTAATGGTTATAATTTTGGTTTTCCTTAAGACCTATCTTTAAAATCAAAGAAGCAGATTTTCCTTTGACAATGTTTATTGTCTTCCTTCAGAGACTTACAAAAAGTTCGTGCATTTTATTAAAACATCTGTATTTTCATCCAACTGTGTAATACACACACACACACATTGTATTCATCCACACTGTAATATTCTAATATTATTTCAACACTTTAGCAGTGTTTTCTATGTATTTTCTGGAAAAGAAAACATTACATTTTGTCACCATTATGTTCTCTCAGTAATATTTAAACCACTGAAATCACAGCAAAAAGAACAAATTTTCTCAATGTTCTGTGAGTTTTAGTTTTTTGCTATTAAACCTCACAAAAGAGGCTTATAAACATTTATTGATACCTTTGGTAAAATTTCCAAACTCCTGGATTATCACATGACTTTAAACATAACTGGAAAAACTGGTGATTCATAATAGCTTCATAATGTTATTATTATTATCTCTAAGTACTATATGCACTTAGGGTGAGGCTTTTCATTAGTTACTTTTCATTACTTACTGAAAGGTAAGTAAAATATGATCTTAGATATAAGTTATTTATCTTACCTCATGAATGAACTCCTCTCTTTGGTCCATTATTATTTTCTGTGGTGGTCCATATAAGAAAAATATATTGATAATAGCTTTAGAAACTTCTGATGGTGAAACATCACAGAGAGGCAAAATCACAACCCATTTTGTGAACAAATCTGCCATGATTATAGCATACACGTGACTTCTGATGCTTGTATGAAATGGGCCCATCAGATCAACAGTAACTATACTCCATGGATTCTCCACCTTGAGAAAGTGCTGTTTAGGTGCTAGAATAACTGTATTTTTTGCCACTTGGCAATGCTGACAAGCATATACCTATAAAACAGGCACACAGTAAAAAAAAAAAAAAAAGAAATGCAATACAGATGTTAATATAGTCAACATAATACCAGTCCTATAAATCTGAACTTTAAAATGGCTAACTGGTACTCTGTGTTTTGAAAGAGAAACTTTTAGACTATTCTCAGAATAGAATAAAACCTTCTATTTAGAATAATAAGCAAAATATTACTTGTTATTACAATCCAAGGACTACCTTAACAGGTCTTATTCACATGGAACAATAGTTTATATTCAATAAATATTTATTAAATGAATAAATCTTCAAACAAATTTCTTATATCAAATTTGTTAAAATTTGAAGTCAGTAGCTGAATATACAATAATTTCTATAAGCAAAAGATTTTTTTTAAAGTTATCATTCTAATAAATGTAGTCATTAATCTATTCCAACAATATTTATTAAAACATAATTTTATTCAAACAATACTTACAGATGCCAGAAATCCCTCCAGGTCTCAAGAAAATAAAAGACCAAAAGCAAAGCCCATGCTGTCATGGAGGTTTTTATGTAAGTGGGATGAGAATTGATTAACATGTGGATGCTGCCACTGCTCAACGTATTTCTAGAATTCCACTTAGGAAACTTCTTTCAAACCAACTTGTGAACAAAATTTTATAAGCTGTCTTTGCATTACAGTTACTTTTAATCAAAAGTCTTATCTTCCAACTTATATACTAGTTTTCATAATAACCTCTGATTATTTCCAAAAATCATATCCATTCTCAAATGATAAAGATTTGGCAAATATTTCACTGAATAAAGTAATGTGTGGCAGGTTATAAAGGCAAATACAATTACCGAGGTCTTAGAATATATGCATAGACTACAAACTGATAACTCATAAATGATTTTTAGTTAGATGTTGGTTTAATTTTTTATACCTGAAATGACAATCTTTTCGATGTACTACTATAATTATTAAAGGGATCTCATATACATACCAAGGAATTCCTACCATTCATCATATAACGTACACTAGAAACAGTAGGAATCAGATGACCTACCAGTAAGAATACCACAATTCCTAGATGAATTTCCTATAAGAAGAAGTTGAAGGTTTAACAGGTCATAAAATTACAAAACTCAGACGAATTTCATTATTTTGCAACTTGATTTTACCTTTAGTTGATTTGGGGTATCTACCGTATTTGATATTTTCTAGATCAAGATGAAATATGCACAAAAGATGAGAGCATACAATGGATCTGACTTATGAACATAGTCTCCTCTCAAGAAAAGATCACATGATTGCCATCAGAGAGGTAATCATTTAGTCAAAAGAATTTCAGCCCCATTTGAATTCTGCCTATACAAGAGTTGAATGATGAAAACCTGGTTCTAAGTAATCTATTTAAATATGCTATTTTTCAAATGTTTAATAATGTTTTAGTTCAAATTATACTTTAGTGATTTTAAAGGAGAATTTTTATGGGAAGTAAAACTCCTTTTAAATGTTTTTGTACAAAAACTACCATACAAAAAGTGCTTAATAAGAGGTAATATCTAGAAGAAATCTGGAGGAATAAAGAATTTTGGATATCTACTACAAAGACATTATTTAAAATATTCTCGTGCATGCACAAGTGGGAAAGGGACAGAGAGAGAAGGAGAGAATCTTAGGCAGGCTCCATGCCAGTGAGGAGCCTACTGTGGGGCTCGATCTCACAACTGTGATATCATGACCTGACCCAAAATCAAGAATCAGACACTTACCGACTGAGCCACCCAGGTACCCCTAAGAAATTCTTAATACATAAGCCATACCCACTGTTTGACATCATTGGTCACAGAAGTCCAATAATAACTGGATTCCACTAGAGTAAGGGTCCTGGATATGCCATGATGAGCTCCAGTGTCATTTTCATGGCATTCTCTTAGGACTTTCTTTTTTTCTTCTTCTGAAACAATCACCAAACGATTTTGTTTTCTGTCTTTTCCAACATAAAACAGCTTTTTTTCTAGAATAAATAATGCCAAAAAGATATAATTGCAATTTTTAGAGACCAATATAGTTTTAAAATAATCACAGCCTTATCTTCAAGCCGTTGTTTTTTTTTTTACTCTTTTTTTCCCTCTAAGATATCATATTTATAATGTAATGAATACATGCAGTCTGAAAGGTTTTCAGCTGCTAAACTTACTAGATACACAGAAGGAGCACCAGTTGCTGTTATTTTGTAACTATACCAGTGCAGCTAGCTTGCTCACCAAAACATGTAATAACCACAGAAGTATAAAATTATCTTTCCATGGGAGTACTCAAACTGGAAAATATTTGCAGGCACCTCCTAAAAATGGCATGAATTAGCAGATAAATTACGTACAGATAAGCAACTTCTAGAGTGGTATTTCACCATAACTACATTTTTTTAAGCAACTATCTATGTTACATTTTTCTAGATTTGGACAGGAAGTGTGGTTTGTAAAGCAGGAGAGTGGGAGAACCTTTATCTTTAAGATAGTTCTCTGCTTTCCTTTGTAGGGCACCTGAGAAGAATCTACAGCCAGAAAACAATCAACATAGGGTGAGAATCAGTACCTCTCCAGTGTGGACTCAAACTCCAAAATACAGCATCAAGTTACTAATGTGCTTAATTAACTATATGCTGAGTGGAACATTCCTTACTTGAATTAGAAGGTAAGCAACTTAAGAGCAGGAACCTCATCTAATTTATTCATCAATGTATTATCCTCAACCTAACATGTGATTGGCACACAGTAGGAACTTGGTAAACATTTGTTGCATAAATGATTAAATAAATAAATGAATGAATCCTAACTTTACCAAAAAGCAAAACGTGTCCTTACTAAGTGTAGAGGAATTATAGGAAGGGTTATACACAGAGAGATAAGAGGAGGTGTTTATTTATTATTTTATAGTCTTCATGACCCGCTTTTAAGGAAGCCTGATTTTCTACCTATAGACAAAACTCCCATTAATAGCACCAACATTCATTCATTTATCTGGTGACTACCAGCTTATTTCAACTCAAAACTTCTCTTCCCTGTGAAGAGGAGAAAGAGAAAAATTATCATAATCTTTCAACATAAACATACTACTGCCTTTCAAATATTCATTCCATTCAGGGGGATTAGGTGTCCAAAAATGAATGTGATCCTGAGAATATCTGATGGCAGGGGGAGACCACAGGAATAAATATATCAAGAAAAGTTAACGTCAACACTTTCATATTAGCATCAATTAAGCTCTTCATTGATAGTGACATAAGTGGTAGAAAGTGTCATTAAAGTTGGAACCACCTGAGAACAAAAGCAGGCAAGGTTAATTTAGGTGAGTGTTTAATTTTTCATGGTATCATTTTCGGTCTATGATTTAAAATGGCCTTTTCATGCTTACTAGCATTCAGTTAGCTTCAGTGTCATTTTTATTTTGCTTTTGAGTGAGTGGCATCATCAATTACACTGGGAACTGTTAAGCAACAACCAGTTACTGCAGAAATTCTCAGGACTCCACAGAGAACACACATGGAAAAGCATCTATATTAACTTTTTACTTAAGATGTGGGGCATTAATGTTACCTCTGAAGATAAATTTTTTTGCTGCTCTTCTTATGCCACTCCTCTCACTTGGTAGCGTAGTTGGATGATATTCACCAGTTCGTTTATAATACGCAATCTGCTTAAGATGAAGGTCACCATTTTTTCCACTACGGACCATCATGAACCTAGGTAAAAGATATTTAAAGATATAACTTAAAAGATAAGCTTGTGCAGTTGCTATTTCAGTGCAGGCTTCTGTCATATTTCTGCTTACATATGAATTGAACATTCCCGGGATACTATCTGTGACGGAGATAATTATAGTACAGAAAAGGAAGTGTGTGACGTATATGAACTAAAATATTCAAAAGCTATTTTTGAGATACATCATGACACATTATCTTGTCTCTTTCCATGTGAGAAGAAACGCTGAAAATTTCCACATAATGGGAAAAAAGAAAATAAACAAGTACACTTCTAAAAGTTTTGCTTCAAGTTTCTCACTACCATCAATTGCAATGTTACTTATTTAAGATGGTTGTTATGTGACATTTAAATACATGATAGATTATAAAAGGCAGAAATAGTTTTATATTACTCCTAAATATATTTATGGTCATTGGGAAATGCAAAAACAAAGCCTATCCAAATAATTTATGAGATTTTGGAAATGTTCAAATGATAAATGAAAAAGAAGATATTTAGCTATGCTAGATCTCATATGCTCTTCTGAACTGCATCTAAGCTGCTTTTTCTTGAAGAGAAATGATTTTTGGTCCTGTACATACTTCATGTTATAAAGAAAACTCTGGGTGCACTGGCAAAATTAAAACAAAATAAAATGTGTCTACTTTAGATCATAAATTATATGGGAAATCACTAAATTTAAAAGAAAAAAAAGACCTTGTCTTTCATATTTTCAGCTAAAAGGAATTATTCTGTGCAGAGTATTGGGTGTGCCACCACTCTCATCAATCCAGATCAATTTTTGGCCTTTCTTTCCCTGCTACTGTGCCCTAAGAGACTGACCCTTACAGACTACATTTATAGTTTTCTGATTAGACTTGTCCAATGGGAGGTACCAGCAGGCAAATCAGAATGGAGAAGTCAGGATATTCGTTTCACAGGTCCTTCCTTGGTTTAGGCTGCAACCTTCTATAACTATACCTCCTGTTGAGTAGCCCATCCTCCATGTCTCTAGTTCTCATTAGAAGTCTGTAACATCATTTCTTCTTGCTAATTCAGGGGTACTATGCCATCCTTATTTCCTGCTGTTACTAATCTCCAGGTGCCATGTTGATTTCCCGCACCCTGTTCTTATGTCTTTATAGAGGAGCTTCATTAAATTTTCTTCAAATTCCCAGCAAAATGTATCTTCTATTTCCTACCAGGGCTCTGATACAAATACATAAAGTTTTGATTTCTAAAAATAATACAGATGTTTACTGACCACTAGAAGATCTAGGGAGGAGGCTACAAGAGAATGCTACTGCAGAGAGAATGTTAGAACAAAAAAAGAATAGAGTGTGCCTAGGAACCCATGGCTTAAATAGCCTATTAAGTGTCTTCCCCTATGATATATCACTTTCCACATTCAATAACTATGTTTCTGATCTTTTCATAACTTCCAGTGAAAATATCAGTACATTTATAACATCTTTTAATCTTGGGTTAGCATGAACTATAAGCCATTTTTATTTTTTATTTTTTTAATTTTTTTTTCAACGTTTATTTATTTTTGGTACAGAGAGAGACAGAGCATGAACGGGGGAGGGGCAGAGAGAGAGGGAGACACAGAATCGGAAACAGGCTCCAGGCTCTGAGCCATCAGCCCAGAGCCTGACGCGGGGCTCGAACTCACGGACCGTGAGATCGTGACCTGGCTGAAGTCGGACGCTTAACCGACTGCGCCACCCAGGCGCCCCTATAAGCCATTTTTAAAGGCAAAGTTTCTGCAAAGCTAATTCTGTCCTCTCATAACTTAAAAAACAAGTTAATTATCTCTGTAATGTATTATAAAAGAGTTTGTTCTAAGTTTATTCACTTTCAACTAAATATTAAGTATATGCATTTTTCATTTTATAACAGATAGCTATATCCCAAAATCAAACAAATGTAACTTATTACAGTTTCTAAAAAATATCAAAAATGAATGGATCAGGTTTTAAGACTTACTATGAAACTACAGTTAATACAACAGTGAAGTATTGGCATAAGGATGGACAAATACGTCACTGCAACAGAAGAAGGAGTCCAGAATTAGATCCACATGTATACAATCAATGTACAACAAAGGCATAAATAAATACAAAGCGGGGAAGAGAAAGTCTTTTCAATAAATGATGCTGGAAATATCTGCTATATGTACGGGCGGGGGGGGGGAATGAATCTTAACTACTTACATCTTCCACAAACTTAATTCCAGATAAGTCACAAACCTAAATATGAAAGGTAAGTTATAAAGTTTCTGGAAGAAAATATAGGAAGATCTTCAAAACCTTGGGATATGTAAAGACTGCTTAAACAGGACACAAAAATCACTATTCTTAAAAGAAAAAAATTATAACAAATTGCACTTCATCAAAATCAAAGCCTGTTCAAGAGGAAAGGAAAGTTAATCCACAGATTGGGGGAAGATATTTTTAATATATATATCTAACAAAGGACTCATACTCAGCATATATAAAGAACTTTAAGACCTAAAAACTGAGAAACCACTTGAAAAATACATATAAGCAGAATAAAATAATCTTTTTATTTTATTCTTACATAATTACAATTACTTATAATGGCATGCATGTACTTGCTAGTCAGTGTACAAATTCTCAAAGCTTGCAATCAGATTAGGCACTGCTGGCCTCATTTCCTCTTCCACATTGATTTTCATGCAGTATTTGCTTTATTACCACAGCAACCATCTAAAAAACCAGTTTTGCCAAGATATCAAGAAAGCAATGTAGTGTGACCATATGTTGAAACTGTGAACTACCTCAGACTAGTAGTCCACAAGAGATCTGATAGATGTTGAGTACAGCTGTGCTTCTTTGAAAGCTTAAAATATTCCATGGCATCCTGTCAATTAACTATGATGTCCAGGAAAGCTTTGGCACACAATTTGAGAACCGCAGTTAAAGCATTTAACAAGTAAATACAAACTAGATTTATTGAGTTAAATATCTAGATGTTAAGTAAGGAAAGGCTGTAGACTGAGAACACTGATTATATATATATATATATATATATTTATTTCGGTTGTTGTGTGAGTTCTTTTTTTTTTCTTTTTTTAATGTTTACTTATTTGAGAGAGAGAGAGAGAGAGAGAGAGAGAGAGAGAGAGAGCATGAGTAGGGGAGGCGCTGAGAGAGTGGGAGACACAGAATCCAAAGCAGGCTCCAGGCTCTGAGCTGTCAGCACAGAGCCCGACACGGGGCTTGAACTCACAAACCGTAATATCATGACCTGAGCTGAAGTCAGACGCTTAACTGACTGAGTCACCCAGGTACCCCAGAACACTGATATTTATTAATTATAGGTTCATGGGGCACCTGGGTGGCTCAGTCAGTAGAGTGTCCAACTTTGACTCAGGTCATGGTCTCCCAGCTTGTGAGTTGGAGCCCCAAGTCAGGCTCTGTGCTGACAGCTCAGAGCCTGGAGCCTGCTTCGGATTCTGTGTCTCCCTCTCTCTCTGCTCCTAACCCACTCGCATTCTGTCTCTGTCTCTCTCAAAAATAGACATTAAAAAAAATTTTTTTTAATTATAGGTTCATCAGAGGTACAGACTGAAAGTTTTTGTCAAATGTTTAACTGTAACCAAAGAAACCTGGCAGATATCAATGTTAATACTAAGTTCTATAAGTATATGACAGAAAGCACCTATTAGGTCAATCTCTTATTTCTGTTCTCTAAGCACTTTCCAAATAAAGAAAAAAAAAAAAGCAAGAGCTAATTTCATAGAAGAATAAGATTTCTTATTTCATTTTCTCTTTCAAAGTTAATTTTTACACTTTTAAAACATACACCTTTCTTGGTGATACGTGTTTCTAGCTTCCAGAAAAAAAAGTTCATTGAAATAAGGCTTTCTAATGTGAAAGACCAATTTTATTAACAGAAGGCTTACTAGATTTCATATTTCTATTCTCTGGTATCACACTAATATAGAAAAGGATACTGAAAGTATATTTAATTTTCAAGAAGTAAGGAAATATGAATAAATTTTTGAAAAATTAAATATACCACATGACAAATGTAAAAATAGATCTTTGACTGTAGAACACAGTAGGTTACCACTAAAACGAAGGCCAGAGATTATGATTCAATCTCACACTTTCCAGATAAGGAAAATAACTTCAGGTGGTTAATTTAGATAGAAATTGGTAAATTATAATATTCAACAATGGAAATACATTATTCCTTTCTGAAATAGCATTAAAAAATCCCCATAGAAGCTTCTGTCTTAGAATCTAGAATGCTGGAACAAGAGCTCTTCCCATCCTAATAATGAGAAAAAGCTGGGTAAACTTCCTAAGATGTCAGTTCTCCTCAAAGTGATCTACAAAATCAATGCAACACAATCAGAAACCCAGCCAGCTCTTTTGTAGAAACTGACAGGCTGATTCTAAAGTTAAATAGAAAACCAAAAAGACTTAGAATAGTTAAAACAAGTTCAAAAACCAAAAGACTTAGAATAGTTAAAACAAGTTCAAAAAACAAGGATATAGTTGAAGAATTTCACATTACCTGGTTTCAAGACTTCCTTCAATCTATAGTAATCAAGACTGTGGTATCAGAAAACGATAGCCAAAGATCTATGGAACAGAATAGTGTCCAGAAACAACCACAAAGAAATGGTAAATTAATTTCTGACAAAGATGCCAAGAAATTCAATAGAGAAAGGATAATATTTACAACAAATGATGCTACAACAACTAAGCACCCATATGAAAAAAGATGAACCTCAATTCATAACTTGCACCATGTGTAAAAAGCAATCCCAATGGGTCATAGACCTAAATGTAAAACCTAAAACTACAGAACTGCTAGAAGTCAACAAAAAAGAAAATCTTGGTGAGCTTACATTAGCAATGATTTCCAGAGAGCAAATAAAAAGAACCATCCATAAAAGAAATAATTTAAATTTTACAAAAACAGCAATCTCAGCTGAGAGAAAATATTTGTAGTACACACACATAATAAAGAACTTATGTCCAGAATTTGAAAAGAACTCTCAAATCTCAATAAGGTAATGATCAATCCAACTAAAAAATGGGCAAAAGATTGAACAGACATTTCATTAAAGGTGACTTGCAAATAAACAGGTGAAAACATGTTCAACACAATTAGACAATTAAAAAAATACAAATAAAAACTAAGATGCTACTACACATCCATCAAAATGGCAAAAAACAACAAAAAAGAAACAAAACCTGACAATAGTAAGCACTACAAAGGGTACAGAGCATTGCTGGTGAGAATAAAAAATGGTGTAAACATGTTTGAAAACAGTTTTAACTAAAGAGAAATTATATGTTCATACAAAAATGTATATGTGACTGTTTCCGGAAGCTTTATTCCTAACAGCTAAAATCTGAAAATGAACCAAATGTTCATCAGTGGATGAATGGGTAAACAAATTATGGTAGATCCATATGATGGAATTGATAAGGAACATCAATAAGGAACAAACTAAAAATCTACTTAATAGTAAGGATGAATCTCAAAAATCATTATGCTAAGTAAAAAAAGTGAGACACAAAAGGCTACCCACTATATGCTACTGTTTATACAATATCCAGAAAAGCCAAAACTATAGGAACTACAGGAACAGGGAACAATTTTTTTTTTTAAAGGAGAATTCTCTAAATAACTGCAAAAGCAATTTTTAAAAATTGCAAACATTTATACAGTGCTTTACTGTGATGATCCTCTCAACATCCTGTCAAGTAGGTACTAGTTGTATATCTACTTCATAGATAAGAAAATAGAGGTTCACAGACATTATCCAATTTGTACAAAGCAACATAGTAAGTGCAAGCACTAGACGTTTGCAGCTTGTTCTAGGTTGCTTCAAATTTCCCGTTGGCTTTTTTTCCCCTGCTACACTAATAACTGAATTATTGTCCTCAGATTTAATAATTCTTGGCTCAGGCCTCTGCTAGAAAACTTATAAAATACTTTTTAATTCATAATTCAGGTTATATATGAGAAAGCCATATTAATTTTTAATCATTTCACATGGTTTGGGACACAATGGACATTCAACTATTTGTAAATGAATAAAGAATTATTTGCTCTTCCTCATAGGAAAGATAGCACTGAATTAAAAAAAAAAAAAAAAGGACACATGTTCCAAAGATAATTGTTATTTCACTTAGGAAAACAATACTTCACTTGCATATCTATCGCACTCCAAGAAGGGTGTGTCTAATAAGTCATGACTTTTAGGGGTCAGAATTTCTAGTGTAAGAGCTACCTAAGTACCTAAGTCTCAGTATCCACATATGAAAAAAGAAAATAATACTTATCCCTCCTTCTTCATAAATATCAGGATCAATGAGATTGAAAAGACTTGGAAAGTCCTTTGCAAATAGTCAAGCAATATACAATTACTGTTAAAACATTTCACTATTATCAGCCACATCAAGCTGTTCAAAGTAGTAAAGAACACTTTCTTTTCTCAAAAGCTTTCCTTACAAGTAAAAAGATTGAAATTCTTGTCTCTTCACTTATGGTGATTAATGTTTTATGGCAATGTTTGTTTGTTGTAATGCTAACATCAAAACCCAGAAGACTCAAGAGTTATTTAATACATTATAATGAGTTTATAGTCTAATGGGGTTCACAAGCTTAAATACTTAAGAAAAATCAGTTCACAAAAAGGAAAATCGTGTAAGTTAGGTTGAAGTTTGCTGTTAATATTTGGCATTTATAGGGGTGCCTGGGTGGCTCAGTCGGTTAAGCGGCCGACTTTGGCTCAGGTCATGATCTCTCGGTCTGTGAGTTCGAGCCCCGCATCGGGCTCTGTGCTGGCCGCTCAGAGCCTGGAGCCTGTTTCAGATTCTGTGTCTCCCTCTCTCTCTGACCCTCCCCCGTTCATGCTCCGTCTCTCTCTCTCTCTGTCAAAAATAAATAAACATTAAAAAAAATTTTTTTTAATTGGCATTTATACACAAGAGTAACTCAAAGAACCAGTAGTTTTTTCTTGTCAAAGTACACTCACCATGTGATCCCTAAAAACCATCCAATTGAGTAGTGAATATAAAGAAAACGGCTTTAAACCGTAATATTAGAACAAACCTAAATATCTTCCTATACCCAAATACTGAATGAAGGTATCGTTTACAGGATAGAATTAAGTGGTTTAAGTTATAAGAATGAAGTTTAGGACTTCTTTAAATATGTTCTTATTTTTAAGAATTTGTGTATTAAAAAAAGTAGGAATGAGAAAAGGAGGTGAAGGTGGCTGACTACAACTTCTAATTTTGCAAGAGGAACTGTCAGGATCAAATTTGGTTGAGCTTTAACACTATGTCCCTAATACAACGTCAAATAAAATCAGTAAGTACCTGTGTAAATACTTATTACTTAATTCCTTTAATCATTTTATTTTGTGTGCAATAAAATGAAGTGGTTACGTATCACTTTAAATAAAATTAGGATTGGACAAAACCCATCAAGGCTACCAATTTAAGCCTCCAAAAAGTTGTTAAATGCATGTGTTCCACCTTAAAAACTTAAAATCTGTAACATTTCAATGAACATGTGAACTTGTGATCATTATTTTTACTTCTGCGTTAGTCTACTTTAATCTCTGACAAAAAGAAAAGCATAATTTTACGTAATGTTAAAGACTGGGAAATCTAATTACACCAGGCACTTCTAATCTGATTCAACCTATAAATTTGTTTTAACAAAAAATGCCTTCATCCCTATATGCATACACATGAAGCCACATGTGATAAGTGAATTTCCATTTTGAAAATTATTTCTCCACTTTAGTTCAGAAAAGCTCATTTAAAGGAAAAGTCCACAGAAATAAAGTGTGTATTTTACCTTTAGAACTACGGGACAAGATTGTCCCTTGAATTCGCGTCTCTCCCCGCCACAGGAGATTGTAATTTGGGGCGAAAGGCGAATATTTCAGATTAAATGGCAACTATGATAAAGTAAGTAGGGAGACTTCGTTCATGTCAGCCAACTGCCACGGTCAATTTTTGAACCTGCTCCGACTCTCGCACGCTATTTTAACTATTAGAGAGCATTTCCAGGGAGGTTTAATGGCTCGTTAATCAATTCTTCAGGGCAAGGTCCAGCTAAATTTAACAAAAGCAGGAAGACCATCAAGTAAAACTCGGTTACACAGACTAGGCACCTTCCCAAGCCTGACAAGAAAACTCGCCCCTTTTCCACTCAGCGGGCGCGGGACGCCGTAACGCCCAAGCAAGGCCCTCTCGCCCCAAGAGCGCCTGCGCAATCTCCACAGTCAATTAAACCCTTTCTTAAACTAGTCGATAGAAATGGTTTTGAAATTACTGTCAGGTGATGCCTCACTTTAAAAATCATCAGACATAACAAAGCATACCGGGACGACCACTCACCGAAAGTGGTCCTAAAGCAAACGACAGGAATTAAGCTTCCTCTCGCGACTTATCTGGTGCTGCCGGAAGCGGAACTACCGGTGTCTTTAAGAGGTGTGTGCTTATGAGGGCCGTGCGGACCGTTTGGCAATTGCCGGAAATCGTTCCGCCCGGTGAGATTTCTTGGTGAGACCCGAGGCGGGCGGGGTGAGGCGCGACCGAGATAAGGGAGGTGGTGTAGTGCTTTGCAGAACCTCTGCGTGGCCCTTCATCTGCTACTGTAGAGAGGAGACCGACGTCCTACCTAACAGCTGTAGTCTTTTGACGAACACCTCACTCCTGTCTCCGGCATTAAAGGGGAAACCGAAGCCCGAGTGGGCTCGGCTATCTCCTGCAGCTCGCGTGGCTACTGCAGCGGTGGCAGGTGAGGATTCCGGGACCGGAGGAGAACCGAGTTGCCGAACCCGGTCACCGAGGCCGCTGCCGGGCAGTTGCTTTGTCTTCTGCGCTTTGCGGAGCCCAGACACGCGCTCTTTCCAGGGGCGTGTGCCAGAGCGAAAGGCAGCGTGGGCGAGGAAGGAGTGACACTACATCCCTGAGGCGCTTTTCGCGTCTGGATTTCTTCTTCTCTTCTATTGCCTCCCTTTTTTATTTCTTGGTTTTGAGATACACGAGATTTCAGCCCAGCCAGAAGGGAACTGCCGAGCGCCTAAGCTGATACTCTAGCCTGTGGGCTCGCTCCACCAAAGTAGGCAGCCTCGAGTTTGGGGACTGCTGTGGGTCGAGATCGCTGTTTTTGTTTTCATTCCTCAGTCTTTGCCCCTTTTCTCGCCGCCTGCACCCCCACTTCAAGAGAACAAAAAGGCCCTTGCGTTGCAGCTTTCCAGAATAAAAACGGAGGCTGCAGGTCTCTGCCTCACCTAATCAGTTCGAGTGTGTTGCACCTCGCGCGCTTCGAGGGAGAAGGAACGAGGGTGGCGACCATTGTATCTCATTTACTAGTTTATGGACGGCTTCTGGGAGTTTGCGACCTTTGAATTCCTATGGGTGATACTTGTCTTAATCTAGTGTGCTGGAAGGCTTAGCTGGGGAAGTAGGAAGCATGGCTGGCTTTAGCACCTAGCATCCTTGCCCGACGCTGGGATAGGGTATTGTTTTGCTGTTGAAAATTCTTCAATGAAAAATACAGTTTTTGTTTCAGGCAGATTAAATATTAAAGATAGCCGCCATTGACTGAGTTCTTATGTGTGCCAGGTGCTTTACATATGTTCTCATGTACTTCTCTCAACAATTCCGTGATGTATATTAGATTATTCGTCTCATTTTCCAGAGGTAGGTACTGAGGCTTGGAGAGGTCACTTAACTCGTCCTAATAAACTTTTGCTACTAGTAAACGTTTGAACCTCTGTTAGAAACCAGATTTTTCAGGTTCCAAAATCTGTATTATTGACTGTTACTATTGTCTTACCATTGTGCTTCCTTGCTTCCAGATACTTCACTAACATTTTAAGTGGCTGAAAGTATTCATTAAAAACAAATTCAGTGTGCCTATTTATGTCTGACGAAATGATCTCTGTCCTCATGGAGCTTCCTTGTTCTGATGCAGAAGTAAATAGTTTAGAAACCAAAATACTGACTGTAGCATGGGTTTTTTAAAGCGAGTGATTAAACTGACATGCAGAAGGTTCAGAGTTGTCCAGTCAAATCTTGCCATTTTGGGTTTTAAACTCCTATGACTTTCATGGTAGTTGTGAGGATATTACACTTAGCGTTGGCAGGAGCATTGTCACCATTCACAGCAATGTTTCCATCCGGAAAATGCTTTTGGGGTTTCAGGAAAATTGGTCATGTGTCTATTTAGACTGAGCAATAAGAGCTGAGGGTCCTCAAGAAAGACGGACTTCTGTCCACTACATAGGACTGATGGATGATCCAAGGTGTCATTTTAAGGATTAAGTAGCTTAAATTGGGGGAGAAGATGAGTATTTATTCCAGGCAGTAGTGTTCATGACAGTCTGAAGCAGTGTGGTAAGACTAGAAAACATGTAATGAGGTCTCCAGCAGAAGCAGTGACAAAGAGGAGTTTCTGTGGCTTCATTGCAAGGGCAGTAAATAGGTACATTCTAAACTAAATGGTTTGTCTTTGTTCTGTGCCAGTTAAGTTAGATCAGGAATCTCTTTTTTAATTATAAAAGCTAATAAAAGAAACGCCTCACATTTACTAAATGTTTACCCTGTGCTAAATTGCTGCTTTGGCATTTAGTTTTCAAAATAATTTATTAAATTTATCACAGTTTACAGATGGTGGCTAGAGAGTTTCAGTAGCTTAGTTAAGGATATGGATCTGAACAACTATTAGAAAAAGCTTTCTAACCCACTTTTGTCAAAGTCTAGAACAATGGTTCTCTCTCCTTTTTAAAAAAGTTGGTTTCTTTTGAGAGAGCACGAGCAAGCGGGAACCTGAGCAGGGGAGGGGGCAGAGAGAGAGAGAGGGAGAAAGAGAATCCCTCCTTGGGGTCGTGAGATCATGACCTGAGCTGAAATCTAGAATCTGACACTTATTAGACTAAGCCATCCAGGCGCTCTTAGAGCAGTGGTTCTCAAAGTGTTATTACCAGGGCAGCAGCATCAGCATCACCATAGAATTTTAAAAATGCAGAGTATTGGCTCCCACTTTGAGACTTTAGTATTTTAACAAGCCTTCCTGGTGATTCTGATGTGTGATGAAGTTTGAGAACCACTTCCTTGAGTGTTGATACTTTAGTAGCATGGTACTTTCCAATTTATAAATCAGAGTTGAGTAGCATTTGTCTTTTGAACAAGTATTTCTACCTTTTTTAATCACAAACTGTTTTAAATTTCCTAACACCGTGCAATTTTAATTTGAAAATTGGATACAGTGAAGCCTGCCTAGGTACACTAGGGTTTCACTATTTAATAGGGAGCCACCAATTAAACTAGAATTACATACATCTTTAGAAATAAGAGTTTTGGAGTTACACTTTACAGTTTTTTATCTAACATACACTCCCAACTCTTAAGAATATTTGATCAAATAATTTATTATATTACCAGTAATCCAATGAATTATTTGATATATAGTTTCATCTTGGTAAGTAATTAGTTTTAATGTGACCAAGGAACAAGTACATGTAAACAACTTTGGTAAAGAATGTTTTGAGATGTCACTGTTATATGACACTTCTTGAACTGATGTTGATAGACATCTGTTTATGTGGAAAGCTTGGGTGTCAATCACATAAAATTTTTGCAGAATTTGTTACACTTGTACATTTTTTTTTTTGAGGAGAGAATCCATAGATTTTTATTAGTTTAGCCAAAGAATTTTTGACTTCTAAAACTTCAAAAGCTGCTGTTAAAATGAAATATTTTCTTTATTCTCGTTTTATTGATATTTTTTGAGACTAGAATGCAGAAAGGTTTTATTCCCTAAAAAAAATAAAAATAAAAAAAGCCTCGTTTGCGAGTTGAACTTTCAAGTTAAAGCCTTTTAAAAATTGATTTAATGAGTTTTCAAATTGATTTATAGTTGTCAATGGGTTTTAAATTTACATTGCATTTTATCTGGGGTTTTTTCCCCCAGATATTGATCTGATCTATTCAGATATTACTGAACTGTGTTGCAAAGGAATTCAGCTTTTAATGGAATTTTGTTATAATTTGAATAATTTTCTCACTTATTAGATATTTTTGGACTTAAAGAATTTACTGTGTATTTTTATTGTTACTGTTACTGTCTTTTTGTTATTTTTGAATCAGTTTGTTGAATTGTTAAAATGTAGATTATTGAATATCAAAGCCTAATTTTTTAATATCATGGAAGAAAATGTCTTTGTATTTGAAGGTATGCATCAAATTACTGGTACTGATTTTACAAGTATCATTTTACTTTTACATGAATGTTTTTGAAGTACAGTCTCCAAAATTAATTTTTTCATTGTATTTTAGGTAGAAAGATTGTTGCATCGACTCACTGAAGCACTAAGCCTCTCTTTTAAACTTCATCAACAAATGAAGCAATGATATCTGAGAACAGAAGAACATTTGCCAACTAACTGTCATCACAATTTCAAGTGATTGTAAAAGCAAAAACAAGCTGCAACAGACCTTGTATAGTAGAGAGAGAATGGTTTATTTAAAAGCCATTTTAGTATAGTGCTTTATATCTATATCAAATGAAATAAAAATGAGTGAAGCCCCCAGGTTCTTTGTTGGGCCTGAAGATACAGAAATAAATTCAGGAAATTATCGACATTTCTTCCACCATGCAGATGAAGATGAGGAGGAAGAGGATGAGTCTGTAAGTTGTTTGGTGAGAGAAGACCAGTACAGTATAGACTTCTTACTCATCACTGTTAAAGTGAATTATTACTGTCTAAATTGTGAAGCCATTTTTGCACATAGTAATTTGTTGGAAGTATTTTGCACTAAAACAGCATGTTTCATTACCACATTATTGAATCTATGTTGCATCAAGAAATCCAATCAGGAGTCAGAGTTCTAAGTTGTTTAATGATGCTTATTCTAGTGTCTTTCACTGGTATGCCTAGCGTGACACAAGACTCAGTTGAAAACATGGCAAAAAGAATAGGACCATAAACCAAAAGGATTTCTTGTATGTAGAAGTACCTAAAAAATATGTCAAGAGAAAGAAGTAAGTTGAAGGAAATCATTTTAAAGTTACAAAGAAGGACTTCTTTGCTTTGTTAAGTTTGTCATGTTGTCAATACAAGTGATGCTTGACTCAAAGATAGCCTTATGTATTAACTATTCAGAAGCCTGTAACTGTGTGGCTAGGAGAGGCTACCTCAAGTATCCACAGGGGTGTTTAACTGTGTAAGTCTTACTTTCTTTTTGATCTGATCTATTAGGATGTATAACCATAGTGGATCTTCAGGAATAACACCCATTTATTATGTTCATTTTACCATAGTTATATTAGCTCAACATTTGTCTTGTTTTCCCTTTACACATAGACATTGCTTTACTGTGAAGACTGATTCAAGGTACAAACTTATGTTTTTTTCCCCTCATATTTCCAGTTCGAAAGAGAATTTTGTTTTCAAACCTGTTATACTT